CCGGGATCAACAACTTCAACAACCCACATCACCACACAAACAACTATGCAACTTTCTTATTCAACGCTCCGCATTAACACTGACCACTCACGTCCTCCAACAACGCAGAAACTCAATATCACACTTACCACCACTGCCCACATTCCCTCTGACCGTGCCTCTTCTACCTCGACGTCTACCCACCATCACCTACAACCAAAACAACAACAATATTAGTCATAACCATTGCAACAACATGTACAGCAACACACCCATCATCACCATCCCCGAAAATACAACAGAAACACACAACTATTCGCATTAAAAAAAAAAAAATGAACAACAAAACTTTCACTAAAACCAAACTTACAGGGACAACCGCACCAACAGGCTCCACTGCGGCTCCACCTGAAATTCAAAACACACAACTTAATACCTTGCAAATATTCTACACTACACTACACTACACTACACTATACTACACTTGCACGTAAACCACAGTGATTCACCTCATCCCATAAACCAATACAACACATCAACAAACTCACTCACTCACTCACTCACTCATGCATTACTTCAACACCACCATCACCACCACAAACACTAGCACAACAACAACAACAACAACAACAACACAACACAACTCATGCCTCACACAAACTACAACAAAATCAACTGCAATTCACTCACCAACTCACGGAATTACATACAACCATCCATCGATTTAACCAGCTCATACTATCAAGTCACAACTCTCCTAACTCAATCCATCACTAAATTCAATCATCTACATCGAAACCAAAGGTCACACATCCGATCCACCCGTTCTCTCATCCTAAAACAACACACTGGTCTTCTGTGATAATCAGCAGTGATTGTGTTTCGCACACTAACTAACAACACACAGAAATGTCCAAATCCTACTCTAGCAGTCACGTATGGACCAGCAATTCATTCAAGAACAACCACGTGACCAACAATCAAAGCATTGCATTTCAAATTCGAATTAGGAGTGCAATAATAATGTACAAAGCAATCACTAGTGTACACAAACATCACATTCCCCTACATCAACAAACACCGATCACAATTACAAAACATCCTACACACATAACGCTACATCACAACTACACAAACACGCACACACAAACCTTCATCACGTAACTAGGCGAAACTGCAAAAGCAACACAACTATCCCAATACCCAACACAGCATCACTCATCAATCACGTATCACAGTAACAACCAACACAACTCACAACTGTAACAATATGCAAAATTTCAATAAGTCACAATTACCTCTGTCAGGAGAACTGATCGATCGAGAAACAACTGGTGAATTCAAATCGTCATTCATTGACATCGATATCTCTGAAAATATTCAACGGTCAACAAACAAACACACATAAGTTCAGTCTGACACTATCACGTCGAAACAACAAAAAATTACTAAATACAATTTCCGATAAACATATCAACAAATAGACTCATATATCTAAAAATAACTGCAACTCTACAACACAAACACACAAGACTCATGCAACCACAATACATGCACTTCTCTCCGAGCACATTAACTTCCATTCGCATTTCAATACACTCACCTTCTTTATCAACATCGGTCACCTTCGAATCGATCGCCGTCAACACACACACAGCTTTCGATTCACCCACTGTCAAAACGGAACACCCTGAAACAGTGCTCGCATCTCCGTTCACTAATCCTAAAACAATACAACCAATTATCAGTATCAAGAAAACAAAATAAGTCGTTCCTAACAAATAACACTCAATTGCACAGCTTAAAAAAACACTCAAAATTACCTTTCTCAACTACGGGCTCTGCCAATCCTGACTCGCTCAGCCTCAGTGGGGAAAACGATTCTGCAATGATACAAAAACCATAACACAAAACGTTACACCCTCATCACATCCACCATAACAAACACTACACTGTCACAATCTCAGCAACAGTGAATAATATAACCATAATATAACCAAGCATACAAATGACAAGCAAAACACAACCCACATCACCACACAAACAACTATGCAACTTTCTTATTCAACGCTCCGCATTAACACTGACCACTCACGTACTCCAACAACGCAGAAACTCAATATCACACTTACCACCACTGCCCACATTCCCTCTGACCGTGCCTCTTCTACCCCGACGTCTGCCCACCATCACCTACAACCAAAACAACAACAATATTAGTCATAACCATTGCAACAACATGTACAGCAACACACCCATCATCACCATCCCCGAAAATACAACAGAAACACACAACTATTCGCATTAAAAAAAAAATTAACAACAAAGCTTTCACTAAAACCAAACTTACAGGGACAACTGCACCAACAGGCTCCACTGCGGCTCCACCTGAAATCCAAAACACACAACTTAATACCTTGCAAATATTCTACACTACACTACACTACACTACACTATACTACACTTGCACGTAAACCACAGTGATTCACCTCATCCCATAAACCAATACAACACATCAACAAACTCACTCACTCACTCACTCATGCATTACTTCAACACCACCATCACCACCACAAACACTAGCACAACAACAACAACAACAACACAACTCATGCCTCACACAAACTACAACAAAATCAACTGCAATTCACTCACCAACTCACGGAATTACATACAACCATCCATCGATTTAACCAGCTCATACTATCAAGTCACAACTCTCCTAACTCAATCCATCACTAAATTCAATCATCTACATCAAAACCAAAGGTCACACATCCGATCCACCCGTTCTCTCATCCTAAAACAACACACTGGTCTTCTGTGATAATCAGCAGTGATTGTGTTTCGCACACTAACTAACAACACACAGAAATGTCCAAATCCTACTCTAGCAGTCACGTATGGACCAGCAATTCATTCAAGAACAACCACGTGACCAACAATCAAAGCATTGCATTTCAAATTCGAATTAGGAGTGCAATAATAATGTACAAAACAATCACTAGTGTACACAAACATCACATTCCCCTACATCAACAAACACCGATCACAATTACAAAACATCCTACACACATAACGCTACGTCACAACTACACAAACACGCACACACAAACCTTCATCACGTAACTAGGCGAAACCGCAAAAGCAACACAACTATCCCAATACCCAACACAGCATCACTCACCAATCACGTACCACAGTAACAACCAACACAACTCACAACTGTAACAATATGCAAAATTTCAATAAGCCACAATTACCTCTGTCAGGAGAACTGATCGATCGAGAAACAACTGGTGAATTCAAATCGTCATTCATTGACATCGATATCTCTGAAAATATTCAACGGTCAACAAACAAACACACATAAGTTCAGTCTGACACTATCACGTCGAAACAACAAAAAATTACTAAATACAATTTCCGATAAACATATCAACAAATAGACTCATATATCTAAAAATAACTGCAACTCTACAACACAAACACACAAGACTCATGCAACCACAATACATGCACTTCTCTCCGAGCACATTAACTTCCATTCGCATTTCAATACACTCACCTTCTTTATCAACATCGGTCACCTTCGAATCGATCGCCGTCAACACACACACAGCTTTCGATTCACCCACTGTCAAAACGGAACACCCTGAAACAGTGCTCGCATCTCCGTTCACTAATCCTAAAACAATACAACCAATTATCAGTATCAAGAAAACAAAATAAGTCGTTCCTAACAAATAACACTCAATTGCACAGCTTAAAAAAAACACTCAAAATTACCTTTCTCAACTACGGGCTCTGCCAATCCTGACTCGCTCAGCCTCAGTGGGGAAAACGATTCTGCAATGATACAAAAACCATAACACAAAACGTTACACCCTCATCACATCCACCATAACAAACACTACACTGTCACAATCTCAGCAACAGTGAATAATATAACCATAATATAACCAAGCATACAAATGACAAGCAAAACACAACCCACATCACCACACAAACAACTATGCAACTTTCTTATTCAACGCTCCGCATTAACACTGACCACTCACGTACTCCAACAACGCAGAAACTCAATATCACACTTACCACCACTGCCCACATTCCCTCTGACCGTGCCTCTTCTACCCCGACGTCTGCCCACCATCACCTACAACCAAAACAACAACAATATTAGTCATAACCATTGCAACAACATGTACAGCAACACACCCATCATCACCATCCCCGAAAATACAACAGAAACACACAACTATTCGCATTAAAAAAAAAAATTAACAACAAAACTTTCACTAAAACCAAACTTACAGGGACAACTGCACCAACAGGCTCCACTGCGGCTCCACCTGAAATCCAAAACACACAACTTAATACCTTGCAAATATTCTACACTACACTACACTACACTACACTACACTATACTACACTTGCACGTAAACCACAGTGATTCACCTCATCCCATAAACCAATACAACACATCAACAAACTCACTCACTCACTCACTCATGCATTACTTCAACACCACCATCACCACCACAAACACTAGCACAACAACAACAACAACAACACAACTCATGCCTCACACAAACTACAACAAAATCAACTGCAATTCACTCACCAACTCACGGAATTACATACAACCATCCATCGATTTAACCAGCTCATACTATCAAGTCACAACTCTCCTAACTCAATCCATCACTAAATTCAATCATCTACATCAAAACCAAAGGTCACACATCCGATCCACCCGTTCTCTCATCCTAAAACAACACACTGGTCTTCTGTGATAATCAGCAGTGATTGTGTTTCGCACACTAACTAACAACACACAGAAATGTCCAAATCCTACTCTAGCAGTCACGTATGGACCAGCAATTCATTCAAGAACAACCACGTGACCAACAATCAAAGCATTGCATTTCAAATTCGAATTAGGAGTGCAATAATAATGTACAAAACAATCACTAGTGTACACAAACATCACATTCCCCTACATCAACAAACACCGATCACAATTACAAAACATCCTACACACATAACGCTACGTCACAACTACACAAACACGCACACACAAACCTTCATCACGTAACTAGGCGAAACCGCAAAAGCAACACAACTATCCCAATACCCAACACAGCATCACTCATCGATCACGTATCACAGTAACAACCAACACAACTCACAACTGTAACAATATGCAAAATTTCAATAAGCCACAATTACCTCTGTCAGGAGAACTGATCGATCGAGAAACAACTGGTGAATTCAAATCGTCATTCATTGACATCGATATCTCTGAAAATATTCAACGGTCAACAAACAAACACACATAAGTTCAGTCTGACACTATCACGTCGAAACAACAAAAAATTACTAAATACAATTTCCGATAAACATATCAACAAATAGACTCATATATCTAAAAATAACTGCAACTCTACAACACAAACACACAAGACTCATGCAACCACAATACATGCACTTCTCTCCGAGCACATTAACTTCCATTCGCATTTCAATACACTCACCTTCTTTATCAACATCGGTCACCTTCGAATCGATCGCCGTCAACACACACACAGCTTTCGATTCACCCACTGTCAAAACGGAACACCCTGAAACAGTGCTCGCATCTCCGTTCACTAATCCTAAAACAATACAACCAATTATCAGTATCAAGAAAACAAAATAAGTCGTTCCTAACAAATAACACTCAATTGCACAGCTTAAAAAAAACACTCAAAATTACCTTTCTCAACTACGGGCTCTGCCAATCCTGACTCGCTCAGCCTCAGTGGGGAAAACGATTCTGCAATGATACAAAAACCATAACACAAAACGTTACACCCTCATCACATCCACCATAACAAACACTACACTGTCACAATCTCAGCAACAGTGAATAATATAACCATAATATAACCAAGCATACAAATGACAAGCAAAACACAACCCACATCACCACACAAACAACTATGCAACTTTCTTATTCAACGCTCCGCATTAACACTGACCACTCACGTATTCCAACAACGCAGAAACTCAATATCACACTTACCACCACTGCCCACATTCCCTCTGACCGTGCCTCTTCTACCCCGACGTCTGCCCACCATCACCTACAACCAAAACAACAACAATATTAGTCATAACCATTGCAACAACATGTACAGCAACACACCCATCATCACCATCCCCGAAAATACAACAGAAACACACAACTATTCGCATTAAAAAAAAAAAAAATGAACAACAAAACTTTCACTAAAACCAAACTTACAGGGACAACCGCACCAACAGGCTCCACTGCGGCTCCACCTGAAATTCAAAACACACAACTTAATACCTTGCAAATATTCTACACTACACTACACTACACTACACTACACTACACTATACTACACTTGCACGTAAACCACAGTGATTCACCTCATCCCATAAACCAATACAACACATCAACAAACTCACTCACTCACTCACTCACTCATGCATTACTTCAACACCACCATCACCACCACAAACACTAGCACAACAACAACAACAACAACACAACTCATGCCTCACACAAACTACAACAAAATCAACTGCAATTCACTCACCAACTCACGGAATTACATACAACCATCCATCGATTTAACCAGCTCATACTATCAAGTCAGAATTGTTTATTGAACGGATGCTACTACCGTTATCTACGTCTACATGTTGTTCAAGCGTTCAGAAATTTATAATTATATATTGAAACACTCTGATTGTAATTTTTGCTGGTTGGGAAATTTAAAATGACCCAGATTATTTAATTACTAGGCTATCAAGTTATGGAGTATACAATCTAACCTACAGTGAACGAAATATCACATACGGATTTATTAATTCTAGCAATTTGGTCATAGAAATTTCAATTTCATCAAGCGTTAGTCATGTTTTTCATATTAAATGAATAACATACTGTAATATACTTATTAACATAGAAATTGAATTTGACAGTTTGTAATTTAATGTGAGAAGCTTTTACAGACAATGAATAACAACTATTCTACACTGTCAACCTGTAAAAAAGCTTGTGAAAAAAAAATGCTGTGATCAAAACAAAATAATTACTTTCAATACTTGACGTTTCAAGTAATCCTGATTGGTCTGACTGGAATGGTGAGACGGATGCTGAAAAAAAAAAAAACAAGAACTTCAGGTCGATAATATATAGTTGAAGCCATTTAGATAGATACATGAACGATAAGCTGTGTGTTGACGTCCGCATGATTAAAAAACAAAACGGGGAAGTTTGTTAGTTGGACAACGAACAAAGCATACATATTAAAATGTGAAAAACAGGGGCTTACAACAGTTCAATACATTTGCCTTGCCATGTCTTCGTCGACCTCGATGTTTGCGAACAGCCGCCACCTAAGGTTGTTTACATCAAAAAACGTTTCAAACAATTTAGGCGATGAAAGTAGAAAACAACACGGTAGTTAAATCGGTTTCGAAAATATGCTGTTGTTTTCTCTACATAGTTTATCCGAAGACCAACGATATTACATGTAAAACTGGCAGATTCCAGTTAATTAATCGATCAAATTAATTAACATTCCTCATACACGTAGTAAAAATATTAACGATGAAGATGGAATGATACGAACTTATTTGATTCTAGGAATTAACGGGTTACGAAAATTCTAAACAGAGTAAATATTATTCACAACTGCCATATAATATCACTGGCCTAGCAGTGTTGTGATTAGTTGTTGACTGACGTTTGTAAAGCTAGGAAAAAACTAATTTTTCACTTAACTTAAGCAATAATTTTGAAGGTAGTTAATTTTACTAATCAGCTAATTATGCGCTAAACAATGTAATATAATGAAATGAATAACTACTAAAACACGTAGCTTCATACTAAATAAACGCTTCTGAAATGTGAAGCTTCACAAAAAGATGTCTCGAGTAAACGAATCGCTATTGTCGTATGGTAATAAACTCTAACAAAACGTATCATCTGGACAAGTAAAACAGAAATGTGGTTTCTGGTCTGATCGAGCCAGTTACGACATAAAAGGGTAACATATGTTTTGAATACACATGACGACAAAAAGACGTTAGTTAAGAATACTTAGATAAACACATTAAAATAGCAAACAGAAAGCCTCATACATCGGAAGACTACCTCAAACTTACAGAATGAGAATCAGGTAATAAAAAAGAATCTGGAAGAAAACAGAACACAATAAAATATTTGAGATTTTAGGCAAATGGCCCAAAAGCAACAATAAAACCAAAGTTTTGTGCAGACAAATGAAAACATACATATAATCACACGTTGTTTTATGATTGCGTACGATCTAGTGGGATGTTGGTTCGGTGATTTCAACAGCTCATTTACAAGCACGGTTATGTTTAATTTGAATTTTATCAACCATAATAAATAATCCACAGCTTATTAACAGAGTACGAAATTACGAAGAATAACATTAGGTAGCTTTTATTATTTAACATTTTCACCTATTCTATAATATTACCTAACTCTACATAATAAAACTCAAGAGAATTATTCACTGACGTTGTATACACTTGCAGACAGAACTGTTGGATTGGGATATTTCGCACGCGGTGAAATGAATGGACACTGACAAAATACTTACTTGGCCAAAAAGTAATTGACCGTTCATTCTTTCCAGTTGATTTAAATGAGAAAGATAAGTCGTACGGAACCAGAAAAACAAACTCCATAACAGGTTATAATCGTAGATTCTTTAGATATTAGCTTTACTTAGGTAAAATGACAGTGCCACTTTACTTGCTGTCGGTGATAATCTCTGTTCTTTTATGTGTTTACTTGATACCTGACCCAGATGCACGACAGCACTATTCAGAAAAAGTTTGGTATTAAGCTGCGGGCTTGATATTTTCCCCACCAATTCTACTAGTGGCCTAGCCTACTAAACCATGAGCACAGTAGACAATAGTCCAATTTGTAATAATCTGAGGGTACGAAACATGACCTTCAAAGATATAAAGCATGAGTAGATTGCTAACGTTTAACTATTTGAATTATCACTAATTTGATGACGTCAGACTAAGATAACAGATCATAATAGTTTAGTTCGATTCACTCCCGTAAAAGGAAAAAAAGAAATGCATCGAAATTGATAATCAATTCCACCAACGTATGTTGATAAAACAAGGTCTGTAACAGATTTTTACATGTTTGTTCTGACTGCGTCATCAAACAACTACCATAAGATGTCACCAATTCTTGCAACGGGAGTACTGCCTGTGATAGAACAACCATTGTACTTTATTGCTTAAAGTTAGTGTAGTAATTAAAAAAACGATAAGGAAATATCAAATCAACTTTTAGCTTACTACACACTAATAAAAAACAGTAAGTGGTATAAAATTTTGACTAACATAAATCCCGCAATAGCGTTCCCAATTAAGAAATATTGGTGAATTGCTTACACTACCTGAGTATACACTAGATAACATCGTAAACTTTTTTTTCACTAGGATTATGTTACTTCGAAGAATTGCCTCATTATCAACTGTAACTAAAAATCAGAATGGAAGACAATCATGTTAGATTGCATATCAGTCAGTCAGGCAGCTAAAACGTCATAAGTGACAACGGTTGGCAAAAGCCAATCGAGCCTTCTGCATCTGTGCTGAGATTTTTTCAAACACCAGGCCATTAGAAATGATGGAACTGCTGAGATAAGGGAAGTAGCCAAAACGTTCAACTACTCCACTCGCTATCACTGGTTCAGGTGCCTATAAAACCCAATCCTGAAGCAACATTTTGCATTTCAACGGGGAGAATCGCATCCTGAATATGCTTGCATTGTTGCTTAAGGTGGTCAGAAGACTGCATTTTTTCAGCGTCTTCACAAAACAGAACTGTCATCGGCATCCTCTAAGTAAACAAGTGAGTCTCCTAGCTGGAAGTCCACCCCTAAAAAGTTAGGCAGGTTGTATATCATAATTGACCATTCGAGTTCGCAGTTCAGTGAATAACTAGGTAAGGAAGTAACAAAATTTTAAACTGTTCAAATAAAAAGGATACATACCCGCTAATGTCAGCTGGTTCTTCTGGTTACTATGAAAATTTGAAGTTTTACTAGGTGATACGACAGATTTAGAATTTGATACAACACTTTTTTCACTGTCGTTGATAATCGATGAATATGTTTTACTACTTGCGACATCTGAAATGCGTAGTGACTGTGAGCAAGAATCAACCTTCTTCTTATCAAAAACATGGGTAAAACTGATCGCTTTAACAGAATTAACGAAATATTTCACCAAACCTGGTAGTCCATTGTGATACAGAAGCGTTTCGCAGGATGACAACTCGTCGAAATCACTAAATCCAGATATGGGCATAGCAAACAGTGAAATGTATTTGTTTTCGAGAGGCAGTACGGAAATTGGAAGCAGGACACCTGAAAATCGATAGAGAGATATTTAATGAACCAGCAAACACCGAATTTAAAAACCAGGAATTGATTTTTATTGTTTTAACAAACTATCACGAGCTAAAAATTTTGAAATATTGCGAGTGGTAAGGTAAAAAGAGAAAAAATAATAAAAAGATACCCTTCTACACTACGACTGCGGGTGTGCTCACGAGGTTAACTAATTCACATTGTGTTATTCCTTTGTTAAACATATGTTTGATGGATATCGACGTAGGAACTTGCAATCGCTAAAATAGATCAGGCATAAAACTAGTATTCTTTAAGGATTGGTGCTTTATTTAATGTGGTATCTTTCATACACAGCGAAGTGTGTTGTTGTATGAATTATGAAGAATACTGCTCCAAATGTAAAACTTAAAGCTATCACGAAAATGCAAAAAGCAGATGACATGGATTAGCAGATTAGTTTGATTGAAGAGATGGCTAACATTTGATGGAGTAAACACCCGAAGCATATGAATCCTGTTTAATTAGTGTCCACTAAAATGCATCCATTCAACTATCGTCAGTGTTCCAACTGGTCGTTAATTGGATAGTTCAATGATAAAATTTCGTCCTTTTCCTTGTAGAAGTTCGCGTTCAACCAAGGTACCTTAAGTAAGTTGGAAGCACTGGGAGAAAAAGGTGAGTCGAAGACCTAGCAAGCTCATAGAAGGCACTTACACTTAGTGAGAAAGGGCACTAAACAGAAAACATTATTCACAAGATTCAGAATCACAGAATCTGGGAAGTGAAACTAGGAGCTGGTAGCGTGAAGAATTTAATCCGTTATATATCTTCACCTAACAGAGCATGTCCCAGTGCTTGTGGCATATTTATAGCTAAGAACAAGTTCGCATTCCTTCAAAGACTTTTGTAACTTGGCAGCCTAGCAAATATGTAGTGGTTTACGTCTAGCCAGATGGTGCCTTTCGTACCAGGGTGTAATGTAAATTGGAAAACATAGTGGAAAAAACAGGACGTGGATAGGAGACCTCGAAAGCACATGTAATATGCTTACACTTAAAAAATAATGATAGATAACAAATATTTGTCATTCAAGTTTCAGATTACGTGAATCTGGAAGGCGAAGCAATAAGAGATAACGGAAACATAAAAATCCCACAGACCTATCGTTTCGTATACTCCGCCACAACTTTCAAATCGTTCTTCTGGACTGTCTAAACACAAACTAGAGAATGGTTTTTACTATACATCACATTTTCTGTGTTTATCGCGTCTCAGAAACACCGCTATAGAAAATAGGTATGAACCGAAAAATAGGGACTTTTCTAAGCCATGTTGCGATGAACTGCAAATGGTCATGACAAAGTTCTGACGATTGAGGACGTTTTCTCAGCGACAGCCTCGGAGCTATGGCACCCGCTTTTAGATAGGGTTAGGATGGCGATCTGTGTGAGCATTTTATAAGGAGCTATCGATGTTTCCTTAACGCTAATCGAAAATAACCTACCAGAATATATAACTTGTAAATATTCTACATCGTTCCCGACCGAAGCTGCTACCTTGACGTGGTGGTCGGGCTTGCCTATCGTGATGACCCAACCGAGCTATACTGGCTGGAACATATGTTCCTGCAGGTCCTACCATGCCAGGCTGGTCGATTGGAGAACGATGAGACTAAAAGCAGCTACCCAAGGTCTGAGGGCGAAGTCGTACTGCTGACTGCAGAGGCGTGTGACAGAAGTAAGGTGTTTCCCTCGGACAACCAGCATCTGCAGCGATGCTGCCTTCCCACAAGGAAGGAAGGGTTAGAAAAGGTCGGCCCTAAAAATGTCACACCTCCCCTAACTCACGGATTTCCGTCTCCCTGGGTAAGGGTGCCCACTAAGGGCCTTTAAGAACGGAGCTAATCCTCTAAATACCTTACATAAAAAGGCCGTGCGTGACCGGCCTGAAGCAGTTGTCCCTTGGGCTCTGCGGTCACGCACCAACACTAATCCATCTTCCTTTTCAGGTCCCTCAAGAAACAACCTTCCACGATGTGGGCAGCCGGGAAGTGACAACCGCCCTCATACCCGTAACAGCACGCGAGACCAAATTGGTCAAAATCAAATCCTTCCTACACCCTCTAATGTCTCTCTTATTTCTACGACTAACTCTACTCACACTCCCTTTTCTCACTGCACCGCTAATGCAAACGAAGCGAGATCACGAAACGTCGTTCCTGGTCTCTTGAAACCCCGTTCCAAACTACATGTTGGAGCTTTTAATGTACGGACATTGTGTCAAATAGGGCAACAGGCTTCCTTAGCTAGGACTTTAGAATCTCGTGCCATCGATGTATGCTGCGTCTCGGAAACGCGCATACAGGATCCTAGTAAAGTCATTAACCTGATTCCACCTTGTCAAAATGAAGAAGCAGCTCGATTCACTCTTCGTGTATCCGGTAGCCCTGATGCTGCTTCTAGGGGTCTTGCTGGCGTAGGCATAGCGTTGAGTCCTAGGGCAGAATTATCTCTCCTAGACTGGATCCCAGTAGATAGTCGTTTGTGCGCTGTCCGACTAAACGGGACAGTAAGGACTCGTAAGGATAGGGACACTCGCCGTTGCCTCTTCGTCATATCTGCCTATGCCCCCACTGACTGCAGTGCAGATGAGGTTAAAGATGAATTTTACAGAAAGCTTTCGGACCTCCTCCAAAAAGCTAGGCGCTCTGATATAGTAATAATGGCTGGTGACTTCAATGCTCAAGTAGGTAGACTAGGTGAAAAGGAAAGACATCTAGGTGGATGTTATGGTGTAGCGACAGAGAGAACAGACAATGGCGACCGTCTGTTGCAACTATGCTCAGACAACCGCCTATTCTTAGCGAACACCAACTTTAGGCATAAGGAAAAGCATCTGTTGACCTGGCGACCCCCGAAGTCGTCTCAACGTTGGACTCAACTAGATCACATCGCCATCAGCCACCGATGGAGGGGTTCGATAGAGGACTGTCGCTCGTTCTGGGGCACATGTTTGGATTCAGATCATGCTCTAGTGCGAGCTCGTATCTGCTTAAGGCTTACTGGACGTAGGAAAGACACCGTAAGAAAGCCTCTTAGGGTTTTACTTAATGATAATCAAACCAAGAAAATATTTCAGGAGCAACTAGAAAGAGAGTTAAGCAACCATGCAAGCGATTCCCATCCGGAAGCAGGTTGGTATGATATCAAAAAGGCTGTGGAAACAGCAGTGATATCTGCTAGCAAGGTTGACCGTAAGGCTAGAATGAAGCCGTGGATCTCAGTAGCATCTACCGATCTGATGGATGCCCGAAAACTCATCCCACCTGACTCTGAACATGATGAAGAGCGTAGTCAACTTAGGCGCAGACTTATAAAAAGCCTACGCAACGACCGTGAACAGTGGTGGGTGGCGAAAGCGAGAGAGATGGAAAAGGCAGCGGCAATAGGCAACAGTAGGCAACTATTTAGACTCATCAAGGAAACTGGTATTAGGAACCCAACTGTGAGTGAAACTATTTCAGAAAAGGATGGTCTTATTATCCATTCTCAATCCAGGAGACTGGATCGATGGGCAGAACACTTTAGGGATCAGTTCAACTGGCCACGAGCCACTCTTCGGTTACCCACGATCTCCAGTCATCCTGAATGGCAAATCGACGTAAGTCCCCCCAGTCTTAATGAAGTTGAGAAAGCGTTAGGAAATCTGAAACGAGGACGAGCTGCAGGTCCTGATAGACTGAACCCTGAGATATTTAAGGATGGTGGTCCAGTTTTAGCAGCTAGGTTGACTGAGATCTTAGGTAGAATCTGGGAACTGGACGCAATCCCATCCGACTGGTCTCAATCACTGATTGTCCCAATCTATAAGAAAGGACAGAAGTCTTCTTGTGACAATCACAGGGGAATAAGTCTAACTAATATAGTATCTAAAATATTGGACTCAATAATACTTCGACGCTTAACGAAAGCTCGTGAAGAACAGACTCGAGAAAACCAGGCTGGTTTTCGACCTGGACGTGGCTGTATCGACCACGTCTTCACACTCAGACAGGTCCTGGAACATAGACACACATTTAGGCGTCCTACAATAGTTGTTTTCCTGGATCTTAAGGCGGCATTCGACTCAGTGGATCGTGAGGTTCTCTGGCAGTGTCTGTCATTGAAAGGTGTACCAAAGAAGTACATTAACCTTATACAAGCTCTTTACTCGAACACCACTGGTCGAGTGAGGGCTTATGGCGAACTGTCACCGGAATTCTCTACTTCAAGTGGTGTGCGTCAGGGATGTCCACTTTCTCCATTCTTGTTTAATTTTATCATAGACATGCTCCTAGACATAACATTATCCTCGTCTGAATTTTCAGGAGTAGACCTTCTACCAGGTGGCTCGCTTATTGACTTAGAATATGCCGATGACATTGTCCTACTTGGTGAAGACGCTGACGAAATGCAGAGTCTTCTGACTACCCTAAGCAACAATGCAAGCATGTTCGGGTTGCGATTTTCCCCCTCGAAATGCAAAATTTTGCTTCAAGACTGGGTTGCATCGGCACCTGAACTAGTGATAGGGAGTGAAGTAGTCGAACGTGTAGACCGCTTCACTTATCTTGGGAGTCTCATCAGTGCCGATGGCCTGGTGACTGACGAAATCTCAGCACGGATACAGAAGGCTCGATTGGCTTTTGCCAACCTGCGTCACTTATGGCGTAGAAGAGATATCCGTTTGCTGACTAAAGGACGAGTGTACTGCGCAGTGGTTCGCTCCGTCTTACTTTATGGCTGTGAAACATGGCCAATGAGAGTAGAAGATACTCGTCGGTTATTGGTTTTCGATCATAGGTGTCTTCGAAGCATTGCTCGTATATCCTGGGACACCCGAGTGAGCAACGCTATTATTAGGAATCGGGTGCTAGTTAAGAATGGCAGATCAATCGATGAAGTATTGAAACTTCAC